AGATCTCAAATACAGTACTGGATATATTTATTGTATCACCAACAACCCCATTTAATGTACACAGTTCTCGCAGTTATAGGTGTGATAGGTAAATTAGTCGATATTCAAATGCGCTAGCCTAGATACCAAGTTAGTTATATACTTTTGCTTATAATCACGCAATGATACTTTCCCAGTATTGCTAGGTGAAGTGTAACTGATAACTAGACTGCGAATATTTATGGAAATACGTATTTTCACGGATAGAGAAAAAGAATTGAAATTTAAATGAAAGTATGTCTTATCTTCTAAACGGGAAAATGTGTATTGCATATTATTGTTGATATTACACAAGTTTACTTTATTTCAATAAATTTATTTGTAAAATTTAAAGAGTACAAACGTAAAATATAATTTTCGAAATCCATCCACAAGCTTCATGATAAGAATAATTATGTTTTTTTACTTATTCAATTCAGTGAATTTCATTTATATGTTAATTTAACATATTGAATAGCAACATTTAAAGAGCCAGAACGTAAAGTATTAATTCGTAAATACATCCACAATGGTCTATGAAGCAGTTCAATTCGTTCGAACGATAAGAGCAGTATCTGTCGATAATTTCTAACTGCGCTTTCTGTGGGGACAGGCGGACAACTACTGGGACAGAAAAAACATCTGTAACTCGGAAACAAGGCCAGGTAGGACAAACGTTTGTGTAAACTTTTTTATCACTTTCGTACGCTGAATACACTTCTGAAGTTACGCCTATATTTCATGAAACGCCCCTCTGTAATCCTGTGCTATAAATAAAGGTCTTACTTATTTTAGACACCGTGCAAATTAGATTAATGGTGCATAGAAGTCTACAAAGCCGTAAATTGTGGTATTCTTTCAGAGCGTACGCAAGCTGTGGTTTGCGAAATGATATTGTTTATTAGCATCGCACACTTCGAAAAACGTTTGACAAACATATTTCTACACATTGAACGCCCAGAAATATTAATATAAATATATTCGTGAGTATCGTAGGCTAAATTTCATTTCGATCATTTCTCGGTCATTTGCAAAAATTAAAAAATAATAAGACAATACAATGGAAAATAGTTTCAACAAAAATACTTGAAGGACGATGACTATAAAGTACATAAAAAATGATGGAGAAATAATAGAGAAATATTTACAGACAATCCGTCTTAACAAAATGACACAAATAACCACTGGAAAATTGAAAACTAGGTAATTCATATCTCCATGGGCAAAATTGTGTTATTTATGGGTTTTCACACACCATTCAATACCATTCTTGTTATTGGGTTAGCATTTATCCCATAATTGCTGTTGAGGGTGATTTATGAAGTTCATGTTACCGTTGTCACCGTGTAAGCTGAATTACTGTTGTGTCTTGTTATTATTTTAGGTCCTTAAGGGTCACTTGGCGTCCCAGCCCAATAAATCCATCCATCTCTATATCTAGAGATTTATTGTTCCCAGTACTGTAACGGAAAAATAGGTTCGCCAGAGCTTATACGAACTGCGATTTTTCATTTAAAGCTGTTAAAGGATTCTCTGTATAATTCGTGCACTTTTAACAAATTTTAGTCCAGCAGTGCTGTTCACGTTCTACCACGCATCCAAACATTATTTTTAATTAATAGAAATTGAAATGAATGGATCAACATTGGCAGTAAAGCGTGTTAAACATTATTTAAATATTCCGTTTACGTGTTGGCTAATTAGGTCATGGCCTCTAGAACACATGAATATTAATTTTAATAGGTCTCTGAAAGTACAGGTCTCTATGAGAAAATTTTTTTTCGAAAGAACCTAATTAATTTTGTTTACGATTATTTTTTGAGAATCAACACACACTCTACACAATGTAAGAATCTTGTTCTTTTTCATTTTCCTTCAGCTTTCTTTACGTTTTCATTTGAAACGAACACACACATCTGTCTACATTCTTTCACAAATTAATTTAGGAATCACTTTTCACGTCTCGACAATGAGAAACCAATCGTAACAATTTCCACCGATAATTTCATAAAACGATACGTCGAAACCCCAAACAAAGTATAATATGTAACAGGGTGTTTCGCGTTGCAAACCGATCGTCCTGTAATTTACTATTAAACGCGACACCGTGATCAACAAAGTCCAAATCACAGGCCAATTTACAGAACTCGAACCCGAGTCGAGATAGGGTGGGATCGCAACTCGATTTAAACTAATCACGAATTGATAAAGTTACGAGTTTAATTGCTACGTAATCAAAATATGCTTCTTGCCCCTCCTGTCTCGCTCGCGCGCGCGCGCGCCCCCTGTCGGTGCCCCAGAAGCCTCCGTGATTATGGTTAATACGCTTATCGTGCGTTCGAGCGCAAGGGGAACCAGAGCTCGTGCATGGAATATTAACTGAGAATAATTACGAGTAAACGGGAACGCTGTTTCGCTGGACTGCGTTGCGCAATCGGTTGAAATCGCTCTCTCGAATACAAAAGGAGGGGGTGAAATTAACAAAAAAAAAATAGAGAGAGAGAGAGAGAGAGAGAGAGATCGCAAATTCCCGTGGAGAGGCGGGTGAAAGTGGAAATAAATTTCTTGGAAACAAAAAGAGGACTTCTGACGTATATTTCCCAGAAGACTCGACGTCGGTCGATGCGGAAAGCCGAGCCTCGGCAGGGGCGCGCTTTTCCATCCCGCTTTATTAGAACGACACGTACGAGCGTTCGATGTAATTTTACGACGTCATCGGTCACTAAACTCAGACATAAATCTGGATTTTCAGACACCCCGCCCTCGCCGGCCCCTCGCAACGTCCCCCGAAGATCGCTTTTCTTCGCGTCCCCTTGCGGGACTAACACGATTTTCTGTCTTACCAGTTCATCAAACATTTACGTTCGACTACTTCCCATCGCGCGGGTCCGAGATCCGAGCTTTTCATGGATATCGTACCATTTTCGTTTAATCGAGCGCGGCTCGGGGAGTAATTATTAGTTTAGAAACCGTTTTTATTCTTGCTTAGTTTATGGACATTTTAATATCGATTTTGGAAAACGTTTTATGTGTACATTGTATGATGTGTACATTTTTGGTTTCGAAATATGAATGTATATCAATTTGTCGAGTGTATCTGGAATTTAGCAGGAATTATTTTAAATGGAATCCACTTGATATGATTAACATCATTGTTTCAGTAAGAGCAATTGTAACTTTGAATTCACTGAAAGCAACGACGAAGCAATGAAAAATTCTTTTGTAATTCTTTTGCTCTTTTGCATTAAAGAAGAAGAAATCAATAAGATTTTGCTGAATATTTTTCTACCAATTACGAGTTGAATATAGCTCGAAAATTCCGGGAAGTTCCCGTTCAAATAGTTCCACAGAGGCACGATGAGTATCATTTAAAATTTCATATTATTAATCCCCGTATTGCGGAAGTTGGTGAAGTTTAAGTTAAGTCATCTCACTGCGCGCGGTTCAAGAAAATTGCGCGGTTGGCAAAGTTTTAATATGTAAGAGCAAGTAAAGAGAACTGCGGGAAATATGTGGAGAGTGATTTATTTCGTCGACAACTCGATTTCTTTGGGAATAAATACATTACTCTCCGTACGTTTTCCGCGATCTCCTTCACTTCTCTTACATATTAACATGGCTTGAAAGATTCCTCTCCACTGTATTACAATAATTATTAATATCGGTGCAGAAGCTTGTGAAAGCAAAATAAATTGATGTCGCTACTCGCAGTCCAACTCGAGCAGATTTCTATGTTTTTAATTCCATGTTTCCTTCAAACATTCTAGTTGTTATTTTATTATTTTTCATTCACCAAAACACTATTTTCTTTTACATATGAATATATTACTGTTCATTCCATATTTAAGTTAGTGTATTTGCGACTAACAATCAGAGTTATAGATTGAATATTATATATTCGTTGGTTTTAGAGCAATTGATATGGAATCTAAAAAGGAAAACAAACATAAATTACTAATGACAGTATGTAGAGTACTGGAGATATTTACTGTATCATCTATAAATCTATTTAATGTCCATAGTTGTCGTGGCTATATGATTAGTAATTTAATCGATACTTCTATGCTACATGTGTAGTAGGATGTACATAGCCTAGATACAAACTTTATACTGTTACTCGACAATCACGTGATAATACTTTGCAAGTACATGTAATACTAATAACAGAGGAAGACTCGACAAAGGATTTTATATCTACAAATTTTAATAAATTTAAATATATTTGAAATATTAACATTAGAGACTTTCTTCTTTTAATTTGTTTTATTAATTTAAATTACATAATTTTTATATTACTTTCTCATTTCGTGTGTCTACGAGTACCACGAGTATTATTTATGAATGTATAAATTTACATAATGAAAGTCTCAACTATGTTCCCTGGGTGAATGCAGTCTTAATTAAAGAATCGTAAGTTTCTCTCTTTGGCGATGGCGCAAGAGCTCCTAAATTTTGATTATTTTCTTTTCAGAACTCATTCTGAACATAAACGAAACGAACAATGAAAAAAGCAGACAAATGCAAGGCACATTTTCGTAGTCGGCACAAAGAGACCTTTTCAACAACGTATTAATACATATAGGTGCTTCATTTCGATAAACGGTTCACAAATAACCAGCAAGCATAGCGTCTAAAATGCGCAATGTTTTCTGGGACACCCTATTACAGTGCTTTCTAACTTTTTTTTTTATCCACGAACTCCTTTTGACATTTTGGAGAAGCTAACGAACCTCTTTCTCTAGACAACGTTTGCTAACAATAGGTGAATAAATCTTTTTCAGAAACTGGTCTAAATATTTTGAGAAACAATGTGAACGTGCTAATAATTGATGCGATCACCTAATGATCGACACTTGACGCACTTTTGTAATAGTTAAATATCAACGACTTTGTAAATAAAGTCGAAATATATGTAAATATATTTTCGTATCTATGGCTTATTTCTATAGATCTATATTTATATTGACAGGTTTACGACTTCTCGAGGAATATTCTTGGATATATTGCTTCGCCTCAATATTAAAAGAAGTTGATTGAATCTTCTGAGTTCTGGAGACGAATGTAAGTATTAATTCATTGATTCTCTTTTTCTTATTAATCATTCCTCGCGATGATGAGACGTGATAAATTCAGTTCAAGACTGTCTGAATCAAAGCCACTTAACCGAATCGCACGAATCTAAACGTTATCCGTAATTGACAGAAGTGTCGATTACTCACGTTCAATAGTCGTTTCCAAATTGAGGTAGTTTAATCGAGCAACTCGGTATTTTTAAGTTTATCGATTCGTCCCCTCGAGAACGATGAAAATATTCGTTGAAGTTAAACGAAAGAGATATATTATTTTCGACTCACTTTTTACCGAGGATGACAGGAAATTCATTAGTAAACGTTACACGAAGTATATTAAATATTCCGTTCGGCTCGCAAAAACTAAAAATGTTTCACCTTCAAAGAAATATTTGCGGAGGGAACAATATGCGCATTGAATTTATTCAAATATTCGCTGGGTTGCTTTGTTAGAGTATTCGTGTTAGAGTATCCATTATAGATGATAGAAATACATCCAAGTCTTTTGTAACTGTAACTTTGAACGCGTTTTATTTTACCGATTATTGGAAACTACATAATCAAACATTTATTGTGATATTTATTTTTGTAACTTCACCGAAATTCAAGTATTTTATACAAATTCATTTCATTTGACATTTAACTTACCATATTAATTTTTTTAGTTCTTCAATAAAAAGCACTGTCACCCATATATAGATTCCGTTAATATTGTTTAGTTATGAAATTAAAAATTCTATTTCTAATAATTCTCGTTGTAGAATCGAAAACATTATTCGAAACATTTCTCGTTGTGGAATCTGTAATATACGACCGACAGTGGAAATGCATTTAGTCTATTATTTCACGAGGTGACGTCAGGAAATGCACGCATTGATTTGCATATTACGGAGAGTAGGTTAAACGAGAAGAAAAATGGATGTCGATAAACGAAATAAAATTGTAATTTAAAAGTTTAAGGACAGTTCTATTAGTCGTGCTCGTTTGTAGGAAACATACGATGTCTCTCAACGAAGGAAATGAGTGCGATAAAAATCAATTGAGAAGGTGAAAATCGTTCCAGGAGACCATTAAGATTCATTATGAGGTGAATTTTATGCGCCGTTTACGTGCAAAGTATTGAGTATACGACAAGGACATTACACCTTATTCGTAGAAAATTTTCTTGTTTTTATTTTTGGTACAGCAAAGGTATGAATGGAATACCTTCATTCGAATCAAAAATTGTCTATTGTATAGTTGCTACCTGACAAACGATATCATGTTTAGACGATATCTTTCTACCACCTGTCCTGCAAGATAACTGACCTAACTTCTCAAGAAGAATAATCACGTACTGCATGAGGTTCAATATACTGCAATATTTGCTATAGAGTTTATATAGCACTGCGACCTACAATGGGTTCTAGTGTGTTTTGTTTTTTTATTCCTGGTCGATATAATAAATTACGTGATGCCTGAGACTGTTTCATATTCTCATGAATGTAACAAGCACTTCATATTCTCGAATTTCAAATAACTCGCTTCGAAGTTCCAGTTTTACTTCCTGTGACATTTAGTTAATTAAAATTTTTAGTGCAAATACACATGTCAACGCTAGACGCGGTCCGAAAAACCTCGTCTTTTAAAACTCTCTTCTCATTCTCTCATCATTTTACAGTATAACGTACACTGTCCCTCAAAATTATGTTGATATTTTCTTAACTCTAGTAACTATCTAAAAAAGTTACGAAATCCAACGAAATCATCCAAATGAAATCAAACGAAATTTTATGTATTCCATTTTCTCCCAAAATCAAAATATATTTGATCAATAATTCATTACATATTACAAGTAATTATATCTTTAGGCTATTAATTACTTTATTGTTCACGTTTTAATATCATTCCACACCTTTTTTTAATAATTACCATGAGTGTTTTCGAAACCTTTCGACGATAAAGGAATATAATCCAGGGTAAACACATACATTTCTAGTTATTTCACGAATTTAAATAATCAAACTACCCAACGAAGCTATTGTTCACCAAACTTGGTACAACATTTTCCACTTAAAATCACGTAACGAAAACTTATATACACAGATTCGTTAAAAATGGTAAGTGTTCGCATACTTTTGACCGGCAGTGTACGTATCCGCGGCTGTCTACTTAAAAATTGAAAAGTCGAGAGTCGGGGGGTCGAGGGATCATCGGTCCGGAGCTGCCAGACTAGAAAAAGGGTTGCAGACTCCGCAACCAGCCGCGGTGGGAAGACGGTAACTTCGTTAACCAATTGGCCGCGATACAAGTCAAGACACTCGGATCCTCCCCCGCATCCGTGGAAGCGATTTTCCGTAAGTGGTGGTCGCCTGAACGCCGAAATCTCCATTCTAGGGTAACTACGTCGGTTGGTTAATCACCGTGCGGTATAATCAGCGGCCTGGCACCGCGATTATGTTACGGCTGTAAAGTGCATAATGCATCGCGTCGATGCAGAAATTGTTTTCGGCGTTGCGCATCCGAATGCGCGGCCGGCCGCGTAGTTGATATCAATTAAGAGCGTGCCCCTCCGCGAAAGGGGCGACGACAGACCAGGGGGCGGGAGGCTAGGAAGGGAGGGAAGGGAAGGGTAGACGGGGGTTTCGACCAGAATCGGTGCGCCAGAATTCGGTAAATTATTTAACAAAATTACCGTAGCGTACGTTAGTTGCGCTAATGGCATCGGTTTGCGCTCCGTCGAAAGTTCTACGAGTGTCGTTTAGTTCGCGGTTTGGCAGGGACCCGTGTGTATTTTACCGTCTCCCGCATGGAAACGCTCGATAACAGCGGCCCTGGTACCCCGACGAATGGGAAGTCTTTACAAAGCGACTGACACGGATAATGAACGACTCGATTGACAACACGTTGATGCCTACTTTGCACCTCGAAACGTTTACCCGTAACCCGCCACGCGGGATCGATAGGAAAATAGTCGTACTGCATCGGCGGTGCATATACTAAAATTGGAACGACACAGAGAAGATTAGCGTGGTCCCTGCGCGAGGATGACACGCAAAACCGTGGAGCGTTTCACATTTCTACGAAAAACGGTATTATACATATAGGTGACAAGGATTTTCACTGAGGAATAAATAAATTAATGAAAGTAAGGCGTCGAAGAAAATTAATTTGGATAGGATTGGTGAATTCTAAAGAGGTCGGGAAAATAAGCACTAAATTTTAGCCTCGTAGCAATTTTCACGGATATTAGTCTGCCAGTTAATGTGATAAAGAAAACTTTGTACCTACGTTAAGAAGATTTATTAGTGTAATGACTATTGCAAATGGTTTCACACTTAAGCCCTAAATGCCCTCGGTTTCAAATTTAATACCGGATTTTTAAATCGAATTGAAAAAACTTCAGCTGTCAAAATTGTTCAAATAATAAATGCATTGATATCTTTTTAAATTTAATTAGGAAAATCAGGCTTCTGAGGGTTAAAATAAAAGGAAAGAAAAGGAAAAAAGGAAATAGTCGCGCACTGGCGAAGTTAATTAATCCCTACGGTTGCTTCGCTGTTCGACTAAGTCATCCAATGGTACGATCACGGATGGAGAACCCACGATCTTGGTTACTCGATAAATCCTCGCCACGAGATCGGTTCTTACACGGTGGGGTATCCTGAGACCTCTCCGACGGAAAGGAGAAATTATCGGCAAAGGGATAAGGGCTCCGGGCAGCCCCCCGGTTATCGAAAGGGAATGGTGTCCTGGGAGATGATTGCGATAAAACATGTCGCGGTTGGCGATCCGTGACTTAACGTAGCCTCGATTGAATCAGCAGAAAGTTGCACGGCCGAGGGAGAGAGTAATTGCCACGCTCGCGGCGTGCACCCAACAAGTATTTCCACGGGAGTTATATAAGCTACGAAATTGATGTCTCGTTCCAGCGAGATCTCGGTAATTGCATCGGATATCGCGCTGCGAGCTGTTTAAGCGCGGAACCTTTATCTCTACACTTTTGATAGCCGCGAACCACCGTTAACGGGTCGTGGGGATAAAACTGAATAGCGTCGGGGAGTCGTTTCGAACGATATAATTAAGTCTCGAAAGTTCGTAGTCGAAACGTGCCGCGGGATCGAAACAAGGGCGACTCTCCGGTGTTGGTTACCTCGAGCGTCGTGGACGGACATGGAGAACCCTATCGGAGGAGTTCGAAAAAGGTAACCGTATCATCGCGAAACAACGAGAGAGAGATGAAATCGATAGACACGTCCCTGAACGACGTCAGTGCGAAGATGAGAGAACACGCTACCCTACAGTTTCATCCCCCTCGCGTCCATCGATGACAGAATCATCGAGTCGACACGGTGACCCGGCAAGGACGGAGAAAAGAACCGACGAATAAGTGAACGGGGGAAAATATTAGCTTGGCAAGAAATTAATGTCGGTTTTCGAACTTTCGAACGTTGACGCTTGGTTTTGGAATAACAGCTCACTTTATTCCATTTACGTTCCAATATCATCTTACAGTGCAGATGTCGCGCTGCATGTTGATAGGTACGCTTTTCTTTTTTTACTGTTAATTTGTGCTCACCTTCGAGTTATTTACTTCGCAATGCATACTAAGTTCGTGTAATATTCATATGTGAATATAAACTGGGTCATAAAGCTGCAACTGCGGTGCATTCGGAGAAGAATGCGTAAATGAACGCGCGATCCAGCGTTGGCTAAAAAAATTTGGAAGTCGAAGATGATCTCGGACACCCTTCTCACGTCGACGACGACCAATTGAAGGTACTGGTCGAAGCTGATCCACGAACAACGGTTCGACAACTCGCACAGGAGTCGGGTGTCTGGCAGCCAACAATTATTGACCACCTGAGACAGCTAGGGAAGTCAAAGAAGCTCGAAAAATGGGTGCCGCGTGAGAAAACCGACATTATTTTCCTAACAACCTAATACAATACCGATGGCGCGGCAAACAAGGCCAGCGATACGGCCCTGGACCGGGGGTCCAGAGGCAGTAAACCCCCTCCCCCACTGTTGGTGAAATATCATCCCACCCAGCAGTCCTCCTTTTTCCGTCCAGCGTATCTGGATCCACGGTATCGATCGCGAATCGTCAGCGATCAGCTGAAACTCCCGACGTCGGAACGCTCCGAAATCGGAGTCGTATGGATCCAACGGATTCGAACGCGTGGAAATTCACGTACGCACAGTTACACCCCAAAATCTGATCGATCCATCCGCGGTACAAGTATCCACAGCCCCGCCTCCCCCGTGCCTCCCTTTTGTCACGTCACTAGCATCCCCCGCAGGTCTTCATCGTAGAAAAGCGAGTTGACGGTCAGCCGCGGAGCACGCGAGTCTCGCTCCGAACGGTTACCGAAAATCCACCGGTTTCACGCCTTAGCCGTTGGAAAACCAGTCACCACGTATACACACGTCCCTGCTGCACTTTCCCGCGGGACGATAGATCGATGAACGATCATCCCCCGACAGCCGCACGCGGCAGGTGGGAAACATATGTCCGCGCGGCGGATTCGATTGGTCTTACCGGTGATGCCTAGGAGAATCCAGCACACGAGGCACAGGACGTAGTAGTTGACGTAAGAGGATCTCCTCATGATGACGAAGACGTTGACGACGACGACGACGACGACGACGGGAACGACGACGCGGTTGCCTTCGACGGAATGTCCACTGACATCTCAGAGAGAGGGACGAGCACACCGAGAGCACGGTGCACCTTCTCACTCCCGGTCCACCGTCATCACGTTGTTCACCCTCCTTTTTGGCACGGTGCTACCAGACCTCGTGCATAGCACCTCTCTCACACCGGAGTGTCCCCTACCTCGCCACCTGCTGTCGCGCACGTTTCAATCGGAGACACACCACCCGATTCAGGTGTCGGTCACTGGTCACATTATCCTCCCTTTCGGCGATGACAACTTTTATCTTTCTCTCGGTCCCGTTCACCGAGTACTACGTGTCTCGGGAACGTTCCTCCCTGACGTGCGCCGCGCGTTACCAACGGCGTGGTGTCTCGGCCACTATCCCTGACGACTGACAGCTACCGTCCACGCAAAGGAAAAAAAAAAAACACCGGACGCGTATGCAACACCGCGACCAAGTTCACCAAAAGGGGTACCACAGCGACGTCGCGTGGTTTTGGCCCCTGTCCACCCGACGGATACCTTCGACGCGGCTAACTACGACCGAGTTTTGCGTACGGGTCGTCTGCGGTTCGTCGTCCCGGGCGAAGCTCTGAAACCGCCGGGCCTCCAGTGGCACTGCCCGCGCCCGCCCGGGGATTCCGCGCAGGCGTGCTCTTTCTCCTCTACTCTGCCGATCAGTCAGCCTCCTCCTTCCTCCAGGCATCCGTGCTCTCGCTCCGTCTTTCTCCCGTTCTTACCCCTTTCTCTGTCTCGGTCTTCTTCCACGGTTACTACTACTACCCGCTCCTACTACTACCCCTGTCGCACCCGTTGTCGGTGTCGTTGTCGTTGTCGTCGTCACCACTACCCTCCAACGCTGCTGCTGCTTCTGCTGCTGCTGCTGCTGCTGCTGGATGCTCACGGTGTTACTACCACCGACGTCGCGGTTGCTGCTGCTGCTGCTGCCGTTGGTTGCTTTAGCGTCTTGTACGAGGCGTCTCTTGCTCTTTCAACCCGCGACGTCTTTCGACCACATCCCCTGTACAAATTTTACGCTTTCTTACGATGTTAACCTTCGTGTCCCCTGTCCGGGTTTCGTGGCTGGATAGCTCCTCGCGAACGCGACAGACCCAAAGGCATCTTGTTGGTCTTCATCTATTATAAATAACTTCGTCGTACACGCGACAAAGCCCCATCCGTGTACCAACGTTCGGCCGAGCTTCGATGGAGAGGGCTTTCCGCGATTGGTACGTTGGCTGAAATAGACATTTTTGTAGACGTAGTGTATTTGTAACCATTGTTACAAATCTTTTGGTATTGAACGGCCATCTGAAGAAGTTAGCAACGGTGTACGCTGTCTTTGTGTTTGATACGTTACGTTTTGCTTTGACTGGAAGTCATGGAGTTCGTAAACGTAAACGTACAGAACCGTTCGATCTCGATTAAATATAATGGAAAAATCAAAAACCACGACAGACATACAGAAGATTCTCTGTTTGGTTGTTTTTGAAAGCGGAAAACGTCGAAGCATTGCTCCTAGAATATTATTAAGAATATTATTAATTTCCTTTGTCATAGTGGTGATAATAGTAAAGCGTTACGGTATGAGTAGTAAGAGAAATATAAACGAGAATTAACAAGACACTACAACCTTCTAAAATATACGTTTAATGGTATATATGAGTAGTGAAAATCGTTTGAGTTTAGAGGAAATTGGTTCACTTAATTACAAAATTAAGATTTTGCTGAATAATGGCTAACCAAACGAACAGAGAAATGGTCTAGTGATGAGTAGTAGTGTGCATGCGAGTCTCAGGTGTCATCTATGTGTACGTGGGAAGTATAGCGTAGCATAATCTGATTGGTCTCGGTTGGAGCGCGCCGCAGTGAAAGGGTTAAATCCATATGACGTTAAACTCATGTATAAAACGAATGGTGCAATAAAGTAAAATTTCGCTAAAAATATAGTTTTGCGTAAAAACGAACGTTTGAAAATCAAAGGACTACGATATTAAAATAATCAGTAGTGGATCGTTCATAGAAAACAGACGCATTGTTATAAGAATTTAGAATATATATCACCGTAAAAATTTTAAGATACGGGATCGCATCGAGGCTGAAAGAACTTTCCAGATTCCCAATTTTATTAGTTTTAACATTCTAATTTAGTTAGCTAACTCTGTTATCGAGGAGCTGGAGTTAATAAGTTTAAATAAAGTTGAACTTTCCTCCAATATTCTCCGATATGTGGATGACATACTTCTTACCATTCCAAAAGCCAAGATAGATTGCACCTTGAATATTCTTCATTCCTTCGTTCCTAGAATCCAGTTCGCAGTGGGAATTGAATCACAGAGATATATGAATTTTTTAGACGTTCAAACGTATTAAAGTGAGAATAAGTTC